TTCCAAGTCAGGCCCTCCCGTTTCCCAAAACAGAAGACTGTGCAACCACATATTTGTGTAGGAAAGAAAGAGTGAGGTAGAACAAAGCAAAACATCTTGGAAAGATGCCCCAGCTCTAGTAAATGAAAATAGCAAGCTGTAGAACAATGTGCATGGCATGGTTCCATTTTAAAAACTATATATGTTTAGTTACATTGTTTTTATTTTTGTTTTTTATTTATTTTTAAGTAGGTTCACACCCAGCATGGAGCCCAAAGTGGGGCTTGAACCCACACCCTGAGATCAAGACCAGAACTGAGATCAAGGGCTGGACACTTAACTGACTGAGCCACCCAGGCGTCTTTTTCTCAAGTGCACATCGTATCCTATTGTTGCCTTACTTCCACCTGTGGATGACTGCTCAGGGCTCTTGAATAAAGATAAGCCTCCACAGGTGCTCTTGCTCCCCCATCAAGGTGTGAAAAGTTGCCCACAGGCAGGGTCCCCCCGACAAATGGAAGGTGATTGTTTTTTTAAGGTCAACTGTTTTTTTAAGGTTTCCAATGTTTAAAAATCAAGAAATATGACATAAATACCTGGATTCTAACTTCTCTTGGAAATCAGAAAATCTATCAGCTGTAGCCCAGTGTCTGTCATGGAAACAGCAGCAGCTGTTCTCACTGGACAGGGCATGTCCCCCCAGCTGCCACAGGGCCCACCGAACCCCCTCATCTTGCCCACCCTTCATTGTACTCGCAGTACGTGGACCTCCTGCCCCACGGGATGTGGCCCCTGCATACCTTTCCAGTGCCCCCCCACTCTTCCTCTCAGTCCCCCTGGGGCTTCTGCCTCTGCACAAATGACAGGGCCTTCACTTATACTGTCCCCTCTACCTGGAACACTCTCCCGCCTCTGCCTCTCTCGCCCTCCATCAGCCTGGCCCGGGTAAATCCTACTAATCCTCAAGGCAGGAGTTTCAGTGTCACTTCAACAGGAAAACCAACCATTCCTGGCACCCTGCTCTAGGACAGTGCCCTACCTTTCCCCCACCATGCTGGTGATCTTTGGTTACTTGTCTTTCCTGTGAACTCCCCAAGGGGAAGTCCTGGTGTCTGATCTCCTCTGTGCGTGGCCACCAGCAACCAGCCCAACACGTGGCACAGAGCAGCTTCCTAAACATTTGCTGAATGAGGGAATAAACTTGCAACCTCTGGATTTCACGTGCATACACATCAGTAAGACAAGATCTACTGGATGGAAAAGATGCAGAAGCAAACAGAAATGCTAGCATGGGACAGGTTCCTGCGTAAGCTGTCTGTTCCGGGGACATGCTGAACAGTGTCATTGTTTGCCAGAGATGTTCCCCAGGGAAAGTCATGTTGGAGTGGAGCCTGGGGACTTGGGACTTGCAAGCATGCCTGCTACCAAGGAGGACTCTGGCTTACGGAGGTGGTGACCTGCCCAGGGTCCCACGGTCCCTGCAGACCATGAGCATCATAAATGTCAGAATATACCTAGGTCATGTACATGCCCAAGACTGTAGCTCCAGCAGCCAACTCAGTACTCAAGAATGTGCCAAACGAGTAAAGGAGTGAGTGAATGAAGAGACAAGACAGAGGTTTAAGAAAGACCAATGGAACTGTTACGGATGGAATGTTTGCATCCCACCCCCCCCTGACAAATTCACATGTTGAAACCTAACTGCAAGGTGATGATGTTAGGACATGGAGCCCCCGGGAGGTGATTAGGTCGTGAGGGTAGAGTCCCTACAAATAAGATGAATGCCTTTATCCGAAAAGACCTGGAAAAGAGGATTTCTCCCCATTTGAGGACACAGTGAGAAGGCGGTGGCCCACAAGGCAGGAAGTGGGCCCTCTCCAGATCTGGCCCCCTGATCTCAGACTTCCTGCCTCCAGAACTGTGGGGTACAAACTCTCTTGTTTGGAAGCTGCCCAGCCTGAGCTAAGACAGGCTCTCAGTGGCAGGAAGGACCTGACGCTGATTTGAGGAGTGCGATGAAGAGTTGGAACTTCTTATCTTGAAAGAGAAAAGCTTAGCCTCTGTGGAGGCAGATATTTGTTTACTTTTTCAGTCTGGGAGGACAACAGTCCTATTTGTTGACTTTAAAACACATTTTTACATTTAAGGGACAGAGGCTGTCATTGTTACATTGTTTTTATTTTTGTCACACACATATGTTGACTTTTACAATTTTTAAATATTTTAAAAACAAAAAGCAAGAGTCTCTTTAATGTGGAATCTCACTTTGGTAAGGAGACTATTTCCACCATGCTCACATGAATTATAGAAATCATCACGCATGTGACAACCACAGATGTAAAGTGTGAATTGTTTTCACTTTTGCAAAAGAGAAAAACAAAACTGTGGCCATAGTAACCCAAAAGGGTTGATGATGAAAGATGAGAAGCAGATGCTTCTGCAGTGACCTGGATCAGGTGAAGTGTAAAAAGGCCTACGCAATGTTATGGAACTGTACACTTCAAAATGGTTAAAATGCTAAATCTTATGCATATTTTAACACAATAAAAAGCATTAGGAAACACTGGAAAATATTTTTAAGTGATAAATGTCACCCAGCTCCCATTATCTTGCCATGCTTGATTCCTCTGCTTATTAACCTTCCCTGAATGAGGCAGAAGCTGGCTCTAGGGTCACAAAGGCTCAGGCATAAAGGGGTCCTGTACTCTCCCTACCTAAGCTCTTACGGGCTTATTGTGATTTATAAAAAGAAACATATCTTTGGTCTTCCTCATTTCTGGCACAGAGCTCCTAAAACCCTTGGAATTTCCTAAGTGATAAGAGTAATAAAGGTGTCTTGATATTCACAAAGACCCCTTTAAGCCACACCTGAGTTTATGTTAATGCAGTGACTTTTGGACAGCATCTAAGGATGGGGGCTGGGTGCCATCAGAGCCAAGCAACCAAGTGACCTGAAACCTCCAGGGAGGGGAGAGAGCTGGATATTGAGTTCAGTCGCCAATGGCCAACGATCTCAACAACGCTGCCTTTGTAATGAAGCCTCCATAACCGCACCCCCCCGCAAAGGATGCAGTTGGGAGAGCTTCCAGGTTGGTGAACATGGGAGATTCTGGGAGAGTGACATTGGGGAGAAGGCAGGGACCTCCATGCCCTCCGCATGCCTTTCCCCATGTGTCTCTTTCCTCTGGCAGTTCTGAGTTCTATCCTTTTATGATAAACCAGTAATCTCGTAAGTAGATTGGGGCCCTGTGTCCTGTAAGCTGCTCTAACTAGTTAACCGAACCCAAGGAGGAGATCGTAGGAACCACTGGTTTATAGCCAGTTGGTCAGAAGCGCAGGTGACCACCTGGACTTGCAATTGGCATCTGAAGTAGGGACAGGCTCGTGGGACTGAGCCCTGACCCTGTGGGGTCTGACACTGTGTCCAGGTAGATGGCGTCAGAATTGAGCTGAATTGCAGGACACCCGGCTGGTGTGAACTGCTTGATGTGGGGAAAGAACCAGCACATCAGAATCAGTGTCAGAATCCTGCTTACACTCTGAGGGAGCCCAGTGGGTCCTGTTCCTAGCTGTGTAAGACATGCCCCAATCGTGGGTCTGGAAGCAGACAGACCGGGGGCCTGGTTTCAGCTCCATGTTTATAGGAGTCAGTTCTCAACCTCACCTCTCTCAGCTTCCATGTCCACAGCTGCAGAAGTGAGCCACTCACAGAGAAGCTGTGAGGGTTTGAATGGCATAAAAAATCACTACTGTGTGATGTGCACATTGTCATGTCTGTTCCAACTGCCGCCTCCCCCTGCAGGGGTGCAGCTCACAGGGTCTGCCAGATGTGCTCTGTCCAAGCACCAGACCATGGGGGGCAGTGGACATCCCACCATCACCAGTGGTTCAGCTCCTCCCTCCCTCCAATCTTCTAGGGTGCATGGGAAGGCCAGGCTCTTCTTCCCTCATCCTGGTGGGACAGGGAGGCAGCAAGTCTGTGGACTCCATCCCCTCCCCATCTCCCCAGGGCCACCGCCTCAGTCCCTCTCTCTAGTCTCTGCCGGGTCCTCCCTTCCCTTCCGACCCTTCCCGCCCCAGTCCACATGTCCACACCATCCCTACCCCCAGAGCCACCTTCTAACTTGGACCTGGCCACATCACTGCCCTGCTCAAGTACCACTGGGCTCCCCAGTGCAGCAGGACGAAATCTACTGGGGCTCAATGAACAGGCACCTCGCTTCTCACGCTCCCCGCACAGGCTCTCCCCTCAGCCCTCAAGGTATTTGAGTCCTGGCAGGGCCAGTTCTCATCGCAGGCCTTTTCTTCTGTTACCCCTCTCTCTGCAACGTCTTCTCTCCAAACCCCATTTTTACCTGCCTAACTCCTGCTCAGCTGCATGGCTTCATCTAGAGACCACCTCTTCTGGGTAGCCTTCCTTGATGTCACCCTCCCACCCTGGGTGAAGCTTTCCTCCTTGCCAAGGCCACACAACAAGTAAACTGTTGAACTGGGATTCCAAGTCAGGCCCTCCCGTTTCCCAAAACAGAAGACTGTGCAACCACATATTTGTGTAGGAAAGAAAGAGTGAGGTAGAACAAAGCAAAACATCTTGGAAAGATGCCCCAGCTCTAGTAAATGAAAATAGCAAGCTGTAGAACAATGTGCATGGCATGGTTCCATTTTAAAAACTATATATGTTTACATAGGTTTGTATAAGCAAAGAAGAAAACCTCAATACAAATTGAACTGCAGACAATAGCTATTGGGTGGGTGGATCCGAACATTCTGTAAGGTTTGCATTTGTTATGTATTGTTTATGTTCTAAAAAAAATGAAAAAGAAGACGCAATCGAAGGAACTCAATAACTGTTCTCCAATAATAAATGAAAGGCCTGAATGCTCAGGAATCCCGAGACACAGGGACAAGACTTTGGAGGCAGGGTTCACCTCCGACTACCCTTGGTCCTGGAAGGGACACAGGGAACTGAGAGGATGGCATGAAATGAGAAGGGTCAAGGTGAGCAGGCAAGCCACACTTACCTTTCCCAGCAGCTCAGGCAGGCCCAGCACCTGCCCGGTGAACACGCCAATGCAGATGAAGATGGCGGTCACCTGCCCCAGAGAGCCACGGATCTCCTTGGGCGAGATCTCGTTCAGGTACATGGGGAGTGCGCTGAGGGCGATGCCTGTGAAAGAAGCATGGCAGCTGTGAGAGGGCTGTCTTCTCCAAGGGAGGAGTACCCTGGGCAGTGAGATGGCCTTCATCCTCAAGGAAGACTAGTCAGAGCCCTTCCCTCTGCCGTGCCCTCTCAAGAACAGCAGGATAGCCACAACATCACTCCCAGCATCTGCACAGACGGCCAATGCTTTCACATGCCCTGTATCATGTCGTCCATAAGGTATGGTTGGGAGGTAGGTTTCATAGAAAGGGAAACAGATGATGATGGTGGTGGTGGTGGTGATGGTGGTGATGGTGATGGTGGTGGTGGTGATGATGATGGTGGTAGTGGTGATGATGGTGGTGATGGTGATGGTGGTGATGGTGATGGTGATGATG